TTCACATTACAAACACAGAGACAATTTCAACCGAGAAGATGGATTCTGGCTCAGCAATCATTGGAAGGACGTAATAAACCATTTAGGATCTTAACTGATTGTGTTCACGTTTACGGTGACTTTCAGACCGCAGTCCACTCACTGGCATTGACTATATATCTTGTGTTCTCCGCAGGGAATGGATTCTTTGCTCCGCTGCAAGTCTCCTACCACCACTCTCCCATTGACATATTTCGTCGCTTCCTCTTAGTATCTTTCACGCGACGGTCAATGGTATAGTGTATAGCGGATTGTATAAATAGTATAAAATTGTAATATTTAATACAATGTATAAGGTAATATACAGTTTTGTAATTGTATAGTGAATATACAGCAGTGTGGGTAGAATAATACTTAGGGTAATATTATAGTCAAAGGTATAGAGTGGTGTATAGTAATACAGTATGTAATTTAATGTTGGGGTTGTCTATGGTAGTATATAGTACGGGGTAGACCCGTGTGATGTAAGAGAATAAAGTTTAGCTGGAAGCAAATTATATTTTTTGCGACATAGAATTGTAATGTATTACTTACTGTTAGTAGCTCAGCTTATTGGAGAGTATATTTAGTATACTGATGATACTATGTAGTTTATACTTTAGTTGTTTACGTGGTTGTTTAGTAACTGCAGCTACATACTATCAACATTCCTTCCCTTTGTTAATGCTACCCCCATCCCCTCACTTTGATGCTGCTAATCCTGCATAATGCATGGGCATAATATGAATTTGAAACTCCCCGCCCACCTCCTACGCATTTCACAAGTAGTACTAATCGCATACTTGCATTTCCCATAAATATGCTAAATTCCTCTTGATATGCAAATTATTTTGTCAAGGCGCCCTTCTTCCCCCCCTCCAACCCAGCTTAAATATACACTCCAAGCTTGGTGGTGTTTCATTCTACACCTGAGGACGGCTGCTTGCGTTGTGGCCGAAACGTCGTGAGAATTATTTTATCATGTTTTATTTTTATTATTTTATTATTTCCCTTCTACGTGACTTTACCGAAAGAACCAAGAAGAATTTCTAAACGAGTTTTTGTTATTTCTTTGAACCTATACCTACGTGACTTTACCTAATGACCTAAAGAATGTGTGTAGCCATTGTGCCATTAAACCCGCCACCACCCGGCACAGCCAATTCAGCAAAGTCTATTTAAAACGTGTAGGCTTTCGGGACCAATATTGTTCATAATACAGGTTTTTGGGTCAGACCGCGTTCTTTATAAATGTGTCGTAACCCTCCACCACCCGACACGGCCAAACAGTAAAAAAAAGTGTCACGTTGATAATTGTTTTTTTACCCTTCTATCTGGCAACAAAACTGACACCTTTTTTACAAGGAGTCATGTTTGCATAGACCACAATACCTGCAGTCATAATGCAAACAAAAACATAACTCTTATAATGTATGCACTGTCCTTGAAGTTGATTGGTCCACACCCGAGACAGCTTTCCTTAGAGCCTAGTCTCACATGGGTTGGACCAGATGACGCCAAAAGGTGCACAACTCAAGGACAATGCACCATCAGAGTATGAGAGCTCGGGGTAAGCATTTACACCATTGGAACCTCATTTGCCTTTTGGCGTCATCTGGTCCAACCCATGTGAGACTAGGCTCTAAGGAAAGCTGTCTCGGGTGTGGACCAATCAACTTCAAGGACAGTGCACATACATTATCAGAGTTATGTTTGTTTGCATTATGGCTGCAGGTATTGTGGTCTATGCAAACATGACTCCTTGTAAAAAAAGGTGTCAATTTTGTTGCCAGATAGAAGGGTAAAAAAACAATTATCATATTTTTTACTGGCAAATGAGGTTCCCATAGTGTGAGTAACCGTTTGTCACTCATTTCCCAATGTCTTGTCTCTTCTCACCAATTCAAGTTCCTAGAATCAACCCACCCGCGCCTGCAACATGGCTTCATTCCAGAGGTTGCAATCGGGTACCCGTACCCTACCCGTACCCGGTCGGGTACGGGTAGGGTACGGGTAGCCGGGTATCGGGTATAGGGTATGGGTACCCGTTTTCGACCCTGGTGCGGCCGGCTACGGGTAAGGAATCAAAACCCGTTTGCGACATCTGCCGCAGACTCCGCTACGACTACTGCCGGTGGTGTGAAAAATGTGTCGTCTGCCCCAAAGGCGTTCACACGCAACGTACCGGCGTGGAAGAGGTCGTCTGCCAAAAGCTGTGATACCTGGGATCTCTCTCTCTCTCTCTCTAGAGGCGTCGGTGTTGTGTGTGTGTGGGCTTTGTTATCTCTCTTAGACATCTCTCTCACTCTCACTCTCTCACGTGGTTCAGCCGAATCTCGCCGGGGGTAACAGACTTGTGCATTTCCTGCGGTGCCAGGGAGGATCTGCCCCACCGCTACTTACGCTGCCAGCGGCTCAAACCAATGTTCCGCCCCCATTGGAACCAATGGTGTAAATGCTTCACCCCGAGCTCTCATACTCTGATGGTGCATTGTCTTTGAGTTGTGCGCCTTTTGACGTCATCTGGTCCAACGCCATGTGAGACTAGGCTCTAAGGAAAGCTGTCTCGGGTGTGGACCAATCAACTTCAAGGACAGTGCACATACATTATCAGAGTTGTGTTTTTTGTTTGCATTATGACTGCAGGTATTGTGGTCTATGCAAACATGACTCCTTGTAAAAAAGGTGTCAGTTTTGTTGCCAGATAGAAGGGTAAAAAAACAATTATCAATGTTCCGCCTTTTGGAGGACATCTTCAGGAAACTGGAGGTGCCTTTCTACAACAGCAGCTTCGTATATGGGATGGTGCCTTACCTGGCGAACAAGCGCCATGACCTCGCCAACTTCGCCTGTGCTCAGGCGAAGATGGCGGTGCTACAGAACGAGGAAAAAGATGCTGGAAGGTGACACTGACGGCTGCTCTGTGGAGCTTCCAGTGTTCAGGGGCCTGCTCAAGGCGCGGCTCCGGCTGGAGCACGCCATGTACCACACACATGGCGGTGATGTGCAGCGCGTCTTCTTCTCTGTGTCTCTGTCTCTCTCTCTGTGTCTCTGTCTCTCTCTCTGTGTCTCTGTCTCTCTCTCTGTGTCTCTCTCTCTCTCTGTGTGTCTCTGTCTCTCTCTCTGTGTCTCTCTCTCTCTCTCTCTGTGTGTGTCTCTGTCTCTCTCTGCTCAAGGCGCGGCTCCGGCTGGAGCACGCCACGTGACACACACGTGCCGGTGATGTGCAGCGCGTCTTCTTCGAGTGCTGGGGAGCCGGACAAGCCCCTCTCTGCACCAGCGTGGACGGCACCTCGTGGTGTTCACCTTCTGAAGCGCTCGCTCGTCACCGTGGCGTGCGCGATGACCACCACCACAACCACCACCACAACAACCACCACAACCACCACCACCACAACCACCACCACCACAGCCACCACCACCACAACAGCCACCACCACCACAACAACCACCACAACCACGTGGCTTTTCTTTCGTGTTGTGCGCGGTGCTTTTAGCGCCACAGCGCGTGGATTTGTAGCGTTCATTTGTGTTGCTGGTGACTTTGTGTGTTTCGTATCGGAATCACCTCCGGTGCTGTTGCTGCTGGCAGCAATAAAAGTTGTTTAAAAGTCAAAAGTCTCTCTGGCTAGAGATGTCGGTGTTGAGTGTGTGGGCTTTGTTATCTCTCTTAGAGAGACGTCTCTCTCTCTCTTATTTTTAGATCAGTGGAAACAAGAAGATGCTCGGTGTAGTCGGCACTTTGCTTCGTTCATCATTTCGTATTTTTTTTAATGCTTTGCTTCATGTAACCCAGACCTCCTCTCTCTCTCTCTCTAACTAGAGATGTTTGTGGTGTGTGTGTGTGGAGTTTACACTATGAGAGCTCCTTTACCAGTGGCAAAATATAGTAATAGGTTTTTACCCTTTTAACTGGTACAAAATCTGACACCTTTATACAAGGCATCGTGTTTGCAACAACCTCAACACAAGCAGTCTAAATGCAACAACAAAAAGAAACAACTCTGATGAAGGACAATGCATATCATTATCATCATCATCATCAGAGTTGTTTCTTTTTGTTTGCATTTTGACTTCTTGTGTTGAGGTTATTGCAAACACGATGCCTCGTTGTATAAAGGTTTCAGATTTTGTACCAGTTTAAAGGGTAAAAACCTATTACTGTGTGGAGTTTGTAATCTCTCTTAGAGAAACGTCTCTCTCTCTCTCGCTCGCTAAAGATGTTGATGTGTGCGGGGGGTCTATTATCTCTCTTAGAGATAAATCTCTCCACTCTTTCTCTCTCGTTATAACAGAGACCTCCACACACACACACACAGCAGCCACGGAGCAAAGATAAGCGAGCTAAATTAGGAGCAAGTTGGCTACTCCATACGACCGGAGATTAGTAGGCCGCTACGGGCCCTACCGCTCTTGCCTGGAACCTCTGCCGGGGCGGAGCGCCGTTTCCCGGCGAGAGGTTAACGGAATGGACCCCCCCCCCCCACCACACTTAACGATCCGGAGATTAGTAGGCCGCTACGGGCCCTACCGCTCTTGCCTGGAAGCTCTGCCGGGGCGGAGAGCGGTTTCCCGGCGAGAAGTGCGATTGAGACCCCCCCCCCAAAAACCACACCACTTCCTACCCGGAGATTAGTAGGCCGCTACGGGCCCTACCGCTCTTGCCTGGAAGCTCTGCCGGGCGGGAGCGACGTTTCCCGGCGAGAGGTTAACGGAATGGAGACCCCCCCCCCCCCACCATCTCAACCACACTCTTATCTGGAGATTAGTAGGCCGCTACGGGCCCTACCGCTCTTGCCTGAGAAGCTCTGCCGAGGCGGAGAGCCGTTTCCCGGCGAGAAGTGCGATTGAGACCCCCCCCAAAAACCACACCACTTCCTACCCGGAGATTAGTAGGCCGCTACGGGCCCTACCCCTCTTACCTGACGAGCCCTGCCGGGCGGGAGCGCCGTTTCCCGGCGAGAGCCGAGCGCGATGGAGACCCCCCCCCCCCGGTCCCCCAAGACCCCCCCCGCTCGAGCCGGATCAGCTGAGGGCCGCCGTGGTGACGGCGAATCGATTCCCACCAAAGTGGGAGTCGATTCAGGGTGGTGGGAATCGATTCCGAAATGTTGAAATCGGTGGTTTTGCATCAGAATTAGAATCTTTAAAAAAATAATTAAATGTGCTGCTGGGGGAAATCCGATGAGCTTTGAAGCGCTTTTATTTTCACAATTAGTGTGTTCGGGGCACGGGGGGGGGGTCAGAACGCTGCAACAAAACCCTCTTATCTACAACCGGCTGGGAGATGTTGACTACCTCGCCTGGTCTACAGGAGGTCGTGGGTTCAATCCCGACCCTGATGCCTGCTGCTGTATATTTGGAGTCTGCGTGTCTCTCTCTCTCGTCATCATCACGGTGGCTTGGAGATGTTACTGGTAGGAGCCTCCTGGTTCCACCAGCCCACAGGGGATTATTGTGTCCGTCCGTCGTGCATCCAAAAATGGGAGAGGTGGGGCTGGGTGGAGAGGGGAGGGTGGGGAGGGGCTGGGTGGGGAAGGGCTGGTCACCCCGTGGTGCCCTTATAAAACTCAACGTTTAACCTACTCACGCCGGCTTGTGCCCGCCCTCACAGTCGGGCATATTTGCGGAATACACCACGCCGCCGTTGACCCTGCAGGCCATTGACCGAGCAACCCGACGTTCCTACCAGCTCCCTCCGCAGAAAATGTGTTAACCACCTCGTAAGTGCAGTGTTCGTGTGGATGTTAGCGCGGGCTAGAGAAGAGATGGAGTGATGTGGTACAGGAGAACGTGGAGCTGAGTGGACTTGCCGATGACTGGTACCAGCGGTGTCAAGATCGGCCTCAGTGGAGGAGGCTCGTGAAGGACGCTACTGGGCAGTTGGAGGCAGTCGCCCTCCTAACAACAACGGAGGGCGGAGGAGCGACGCTCACAACAACGAGCGGAGCGCCGGGTGGCTAAAGCACAGCAAGTTGGTACAGTAGGGGGCACAGGTGGTGCATCAGCCAGTCATCTCGGTCATCTCGGTCAGTCAACCCGTGGCACCTGGGTCTGCCCCGTGACCTCCTGCCAGCGGGCGTTCGACACTTCACGTGGCCTCGAGGTGCACATGGCCTGGCACAAGCATCGTGGTGACGTCACCGCCACTTAGTGGCGAATGGCGGTTGTTGTTGTAGTTGTTAGTGCGGTGAGGCCTGCCTGCGCACACACAGAATCCACACGCAGCGTATCGCTTCAGCCGTCGAGTTTATTTAGAGGAGGGGGAGGGAGGGGGGTGACAAAAATACGGCAGACTTCATTGGGACGGTCAAACACGCGAGTTTTAGCGGCCAATATGATTAATATTAAATAATTTTGGGTTAGATCGCGCAAGTATACATGTGCCGTGACCCTCCACCGCCCCCGACACAGCCGACTGGAATGGGATTCGTCACGGAAACGAGAGGGGGTCATTGCAGGCCGTGCGCTGCTTCCGTGGCCGTCTGGAACGCTCTTCCCTTCCGATGTTAGGAAGTCGCCGGGAGCCGTGATGCTACTTTTACATCATCATCGTCGTCATCATCGTCGTCATCGTCGTCGTCGTCATCATCATCGTGTAGTGGTGAGTGTAGTGGTGAGTGTAGTAGTGGTGAGTGTACTAGTGGTGAGTGTAGTGGCGAGTGTACTAGTGGTGAGTGTAGTGGTAAGTGTACTAGTGAGTGTACTAGTGGTGAGTGTAGTGGTGAGTGTAGTGGTGAGTGTAGTGGTGAGTGTACTAGTGGTGAGTGTAGTGGTGAGTGTAGTAGTGAGTGTACTAGTGGTGAGTGTAGTGGTGAGTGTAGTGGTGAGTGTACTAGTGGTGAGTGTAGTGGTGAGTGTAGTAGTGAGTGTACTAGTGGTGAGTGTAGTGGTGAGTGTAGTGGTGAGTGTACTAGTGGTGAGTGTAGTGGTGAGTGTAGTAGTGAGTGTACTAGTGGTGAGTGTACTAGTGGTGAGTGTAGTAGTGAGTGTAGTAGTGAGTGTACTAGTAGTGAGTGTAGTGGTGAGTGTAGTGGTGAGTGTAGTAGTGAGTGTACTAGTAGTGAGTGTAGTGGTGAGTGTAGTGGTGAGTGTACTAGTGGTGAGTGTAGTGGTGAGTGTAGTGGTGAGTGTAGTAGTGAGTGTAGTGGTGAGTGTAGTGGTGAGTGTAGTAGTGAGTGTAGTGGTGAGTGTACTAGTGGTGAGTGTAGTGGTGAGTGTAGTAGTGAGTGTAGTGGTGAGTGTAGTGGTGAGTGTATTAGTGGTGAGTGTAGTGGCGAGTGTACTAGTGGTGAGTGTAGTGGTGAGTGTACTAGTGGTGAGTGTACTAGTAGTGAGTGTACTAGTGGTGAGTGTAGTGGGGAGTGTAGTAGTGGGTGTAGTGGTGAGTGTAGTAGTGGGTGTAGTGGTGAGTGTAGTGGTGAGTGTAGTGGTGAGTGTACTAGTGGTGAGTGTAGTGGTGAGTGTAGTAGTGAGTGTAGTAGTGAGTGTAGTGGTGAGTGTAGTGGTGAGTGTAGTGGTGAGTGTACTAGTGGTGAGTGTAGTGGTGAGTGTAGTAGTGAGTGTAGTGGTGAGTGTAGTGGTGAGTGTACTAGTGGTGAGTGTAGTGGTGAGTGTAGTAGTGAGTGTAGTGGTGAGTGTAGTGGTGAGTGTACTAGTGGTGAGTGTAGTGGTGAGTGTACTAGTGGTGAGTGTAGTGGTGAGTGTACTAGTGGTGAGTGTACTAGTGGTGAGTGTAGTGGCGAGTGTACTAGTGGTGAGTGTAGTGGTAAGTGTACTAGTGGTGAGTGTACTAGTGGTGAGTGTAGTGGTGAGTGTACTAGTGGTGAGTGTAGTGGCGAGTGTACTAGTGGTGAGTGTAGTGGCGAGTGTACTAGTGGTGAGTGTAGTGGTGAGTGTACTAGTGGTGAGTGTAGTGGTGAGTGTACTAGTGGTGAGTGTAGTGGTAAGTGTACTAGTGGTGAGTGTACTAGTGGTGAGTGTAGTGGTGAGTGTACTAGTGGTGAGTGTAGTGGTGAGTGTACTAGTGGTGAGTGTAGTGGCGAGTGTACTAGTGGTGAGTGTAGTGGTGAGTGTACTAGTGGTGAGTGTACTAGTGGTGAGTGTAGTGGCGAGTGTACTAGTGGTGAGTGTAGTGGTAAGTGTACTAGTGAGTGTACTAGTGGTGAGTGTAGTGGTGAGTGTAGTGGTGAGTGTAGTGGTGAGTGTACTAGTGGTGAGTGTAGTGGTGAGTGTAGTGGTGAGTGTAGTAGTGAGTGTACTAGTGGTGAGTGTAGTGGTGAGTGTAGTGGTGAGTGTAGTGGTGAGTGTAGTAGTGAGTGTACTAGTGGTGAGTGTACTAGTGGTGAGTGTAGTGGTGAGTGTACTAGTAGTGAGTGTAGTGGTGAGTGTAGTGGTGAGTGTAGTAGTGAGTGTACTAGTAGTGAGTGTAGTGGTGAGTGTAGTGGTGAGTGTAGTGGTGAGTGTACTAGTGGTGAGTGTAGTGGTGAGTGTAGTAGTGAGTGTACTAGTGGTGAGTGTAGTGGTGAGTGTAGTAGTGAGTGTAGTGGTGAGTGTAGTAGTGAGTGTAGTGGTGAGTGTAGTGGTGAGTGTACTAGTGGTGAGTGTACTAGTAGTGAGTGTACTAGTGGTGAGTGTACTAGTGGTGAGTATATTGGCGAGTGCACTAGTGAGTGTAGTGGTAAGTGTACTAGTGAGTGTACTAGTGGTGAGTATATTGGCGAGTGCACTAGTGAGTGTAGTGGTAAGTGTACTAGTGAGTGTACTAGTGGTGAGTGTACTAGTGGTGAGTGTACTAGTGGTGAGTGTAGTGGTAAGTGTACTAGTGAGTGTACTAGTGGTGAGTGTACTAGTGAGTGTACTAGTGGTGAGTATATTGGTGAGTGCACTAGTGGCGAGTCTCTCTCTCTCTGCGTTTCGACCCTTGCGATGGCACTTTGTGGTTACGACTGTGGACATGAGAACAAGGGACAACGCCGGCTGACCACTCAGCCCAGGCTTGACCTGCACACCGAGTTGGCGTCCTGGGTACGGGGTCGACGGCTTTCTCTTCAACTCGACGCGCGCCTCAGCCGCGGAGCCCAGACGCTACGGGCTGCGGCGGAGAGCGAGTCTCAGACGCTACGGGCTGCGGCGGCGAGCGAGCCGCCGGGAATCCGTAGAGACGCCTGAGGGCCGAGCGTGCAGCCTCCTCCTCGGCTACGAGCGGCGTCTCGCCCGGAGCCTCGGAGAGAACGCGGCCATCACTGGGGGGGTGGGGAGGGGGGTAGGGAGATAGGGAGACAGTCAGAGAAAAACACAGGCAGAGAGACAGAGACACACACAGACAGAGACACACACAGACAGAGACACACACAGACAGAGACACACACAGACAGAGACACACACAGACAGAGACACACACAGACAGAGACACACACAGACAGAGACACACACAGACAGAGACACACACAGACAGAGACACACACAGACAGAGACACACACAGACAGAGACACACACAGACAGAGACACACACAGACAGAGACACACACAGACAGAGACACACACAGACAGAGACACACACAGACAGAGACACACACAGACAGAGACACACACAGACAGAGACACACACAGACACAGAGACACACAGAGACACCCACCTGTACACAGCCACCACGTGACAGGGCAGGGCGCTGGCTGCTCCGGTGCTCCGCGTGATCCGCGGCTCCGGAGGGGCACGTCCCCGACGCTCCATCTCCTCCCGCAGGAGCCTCATGGGGTCACGCACGGACCACAGGGTGAAGAGGTCGCGACCCCCGCCCAGCTGGGGCAGCACGAAGCTCTGGGGGGGGCGGGAAGGGGGGGGGGGGATGGGGGGGGGGATGGCGGGGGGAGGGGTTATGGGGGGGGGTGGGGGGGGGTGTTGTGGGTGGTGAGTAGTGAGTGGTGAGCGGTGAGGAGTAAGTGATGAGCTGCGAGTGGTGAGTAGTGAGTGTTGAGTAGAGAGTGGTGAGTGGTGAGTGGTGAGCAGGGAGCGGTGAGTAGTGAGTGTTGAGTAGAGATTGGTGAGTGGTGAGTGAGAGTGGTGAGTGGTGAGTGAGAGTGGTGAGTGAGAGTGGTGAGTGGTGAGCAGGGAGCGGTGAGTGGTGAGTAGTGAGTGTTGAGTAGAGAGTGGTGAGTGGTGAGTGGTGAGTGTTGAGTAGAGAGTGGTGAGTGGTGAGTGAGAGTGGTGAGTGAGAGTGGTGAGTGGTGAGCAGGGAGCGGTGAGTGGTGAGTAGTGAGTGTTGAGTAGAGAGTGGTGAGTGGTGAGTGGTGAGTGTTGAGTAGAGAGTGGTGAGTGGTGAGTGAGAGTGGTGAGTGAGAGTGGTGAGTGGTGAGCAGGGAGCGGTGAGTGGTGAGTAGTGAGTGTTGAGTAGAGAGTGGTGAGTGGTGAGTGGTGAGTGTTGAGTAGAGAGTGGTGAGTGGTGAGTGAGAGTGGTGAGTGAGAGTGGTGAGTGGTGAGCAGGGAGCGGTGAGTGGTGAGTAGTGAGTGTTGAGTAGAGAGTGGTGAGTGGTGAGTGGTGAGTGTTGAGTAGAGAGTGGTGAGTGGTGAGTGAGAGTGGTGAGTGGTGAGCAGGGAGCGGTGAGTGGTGAGTAGTGAGTGTTGAGTAGAGAGTGGTGAGTGGTGAGTGAGAGTGGTGAGTGGTGAGCAGGGAGCGGTGAGTGGTGAGTAGTGAGTGTTGAGTAGAGAGTGGTGAGTGGTGAGTGAGAGTGGTGAGTGGTGAGCAGGGAGCGGTGAGTGGTGAGTAGTGAGTGTTGAGTAGAGAGTGGTGAGTGGTGAGTGAGAGTGGTGAGTGGTGAGCAGGGAGCGGTGAGTGGTGAGCGGTGAGTGGTGAGCGAGTGGTGAGTGAGTGATGAGTGAGTGGTGAATGAGCGAGTGAGTGAGCGAGTGAGTGGTGAATGAGCGAGTGAGTGGTGAGTGAGTGAGCGAGTGAGCGAGCGGTGAGCGAGTGGTGAGCGAGTGGTGAGCACCTGCAGGAAGGCGGAGGCTCGCTCCTCACCACCGCTGGCTCTCACGAGGCTCACGATGGCGAGGAGCGAGCGAGCCAGCGCCGAGTCAGGGGGGGGGTCGCGGGCGGCCAGCACCAGGTGAGTCAGACCCAGAGCCCTCGCCACCCCACCCAGAGTCTGGGGGGGGGGGGGGGGGACACGGTGGGGGGGGGGCACGCGGGGGGGGGGGCACGGGGGGGGGGACATGGGGGGGGGCACAGTGGGGGGGGGGGGGGCACGGGGGGGGGGGACACGGGGGGGGGCACAGTGGGGGGGGGGCACGCGGGGGGGGGGCACGGGGGGGGGGGACACGGGGGGGGGCACGACGGTAGTGGTGATGGTGGTTGTGGTGGTGGTTGTGGTGGTTGTGGTGATGGTGGTGTGATGGTGGTTGTGGTGATGATGGTGATGGTTGTGATGGTGGTGGTGATGGTGGTTGTGGTGGTGGTTGTGGTGGTGGTTGTGGTGGTTGTGGTGATGGTGGTGGTGATGGTGATGGTGGTGATGATGATGGTTGTGATGGTGATGGTTGTGATGGTGGTGGTGATGGTGGTTGTGGTGATGGTGGTGGTGATGTTGGTGATGGTGGTGGTGATGGTGGTTGTGGTGGTGGTGATGGTTGTGGTGGTGGTTGTGGTGGTGGTTGTGGTGGTTGTGGTGATGGTGGTGGTGATGGTGATGATGATGGTGGTGATGGTGGTGATGGTGATGATGATGGTTGTGATGGTGGTGGTGATGGTGGTTGTGGTGATGGTGGTGGTGATGTTGGTGATGGTGGTGGTGATGGTGGTTGTGGTGGTGGTGATGGTTGTGGTGGTGGTGATGTTGGTGATGGTGGTGGTGGTGATGGTGGTTGTGGTGATGGTTGTGGTGGTGGTGATGTTGGTGATGGTGGTGGTGATGTTGGTGATGGTGGTGGTGATGGTGGTGGTGATGTTGGTGGTGATGGTGGTTGTGGTGGTGATGGTTGTGGTGGTGGTGATGGTGGTGGTGGTGATGCTGGTGGTGGTGATGTTGGTGATGGTGGCGGCGGCGAGCCTCTCCACCAACACGTCAACAAACCCCCACCACCACCACCACCCCCCACCACCACACCCACCCCCCACCACCACCACCCCCCCCACCCACCACCCCCTCACCTCATCGCTCATCAGAAACCTCTTCAAAGCGACGCGCCCTCCATCGGGCATCTGCGGGAAGGCCCCGGCCAGCTCCGAGTCCAGGACTTCCCCGGTCAACCGGGCCCCATCGGCGGCCAAATCGCCGTGGTTCTCACCGCCTATTTGATATTTGATCAATTGACCGAAAGAAAATAAATATATAATATTAAATATTGATAAAGCAAGTGATGAAAATAAAATTAATTGATAATTGTTCATTTAATGAAAATAAAAATAATAAAATTAATTGATAAGTGTTCATTTAATAAAAATAATAAAATAAATGTGCATTAAATCGATTGGTAAAAATAATAATAATAAAATAAAAGACCATAATAATAAATCAATAGAAATTTTTTTTTATTAAATAAAAATAAATCAATCGAGAAAAATATAAATAATAAAATAAAGTTTAATAATTGTTAATCAATTGATAAAAACAATAAAATGAAATAATAATAAATCAATTGCTAAAAATAAAAATATTAATAAATAATCGAAGAGGAGCGGAGCGAACGTGACCTCCGTGACCTCCGTGACCTCCGTGACCTCCGGGGCCGCAGGAACTCCGGAGGGCCACGGCGAGACGCTCGGTGCTCAGGAGCTCCTCGCCCAGGCGGGAGGCGAGCGCCGTGAGCTCAGCACTCAGGTCAAAGTTGTCGCGCTCCCGTCTGTGTGGTGACGGTGGTGGTGGTTGTGGTGGTGGTGGTTGTTGTGGTGGTGGTGGTGGTGGGGGTGGAAGGGGTGGTGGTGGTAGGGGTGGTGGTGGTAGGGGTGGTGGGGGTGGTGGTGGTGGGGGTGGTGGGGGTGGTGGTGGGGGTGGTGGTTGTGGTGGTGGTGGTTGTGGTGGTGGTTGTGGTGGGCGTGGTGGTGGTTGTTGTGTCGGTGGTGGGGGTGGTAGGGGTGGTGGTGGTTGTGGTGGTGGTGGGTGGTGGTGGTGGGGGTGATGGTGGCGGTGGTGATGGTGGCGGTGGTGGTGGCGGTGGTGGGGGTGGTGGTGGTGGTGGTGGGGGTGATGGCGGTGGTGGGGGTGGTAGGGGTGGTGGCGGTTGTGGTGGTGGCGATGGTGGTGGTGGGCGGTGGTGGTGGTTGTGGTGGTGGTGGGCAGTGGTGGTGGCGGCGGTGGTGGTGGGCAGTGGTGGTGGCGGCGGTGGTGGTGGTAGCAGTGGTGGTGGTGGCGGAGAGGGGGAGGGAAGGAATGACACAAACACACGCCACGTTTTCTCATTGAAAATATGTCAATTTCAAAATGTCACTGTCCTGGTCACAAAAGCAAAGTTTGTGGTGAATAACGGTAGCCATTTTCTGTACTTTTGAGGCATAAGCAATTAGAAATGAACACTTACTAGCCAGGGACAAACATTTGTTTTTACTGGTAGGAACCCACTGGTTACATCAGCCCACAGGGGATTATTGTGTCCGTCCGTCGTGCAGAGAAGGGCTGGGTGGGGAGGGAGAGGGTGGGGAGCGGCTGGGTGGGAAGGGTGGGGCTGGGTGGGGTGGGGTGGGGAGGGGCTGGGTGGGGCTGGGTGGGGAGGGTGGGAGGGGTGGGGAGGGAGGGGCTGGGTGGGGAGGGTGGGAGGGGTGGGGAGGGAGGGGCTGGGTGGGGCTGGGTGGGGAGGGTGGGGAGGGGCTGGGTGGGGAGGGGAGGGGCTGGGTGAGGGCTGAAAGGGGTGGGGCTGGGTGGGGAGGGGCTGGTCAGCCCGTGGTGCCCTTATAAAACTCAACATTTCACCTACTCACGCCGGCTTGTGCCCGCCCTCACAGTCGGGCATATTTGCGGAATACACCACGCCGCTGTTGACCCTGCAGGCCATTGACCGAGCAACCCGACGTTCCTACCAGCTCCCTCCACAGCAGGAATGTGTTTGGTTCTTTCGGTAAAGTCACGTGGGTAGGAAAATAAACTAAAATAAAACAGATCACGACGTTTCGATCGCAACACAAGCGCTGTTCATCAGGCGATGCCATTTGTGCACCGATTTGATTCCCGGCAAAAGGGTGTTGGGACATCGTGACACGACGCTCCGTTTCACTGCCAGAGACGGGGTTAAAGCACCGACTCTTCTTACTTTTCACACTTTGATCCTGGCAAAAAAAAGAACGTACAGACATTTTTAAATCCTTTATATTAAGTTCGCATGCTTGCTTGCTTGCTTGCGTGCTTGCTTGCTTACGACCGTGCAAATCTTTCGGTCGTTTTTTAACCCACTTCCCGTGATCCAATCGAGCTGACATTTTGCACACAGACTCGTTGTGCGTGACAATTAATTTTCGTGAAAATTGTTTTCCAAAATTTTACACTGTTTAGGCAAAACAAATTAAATATTTAATTACCAATTGCTTAATACTGGCAGACAATCATCTGACCCATAGGTGGCAGCCATCTCAAGCCAGAGGACGAGAGGACTCTAGCCGCCACGCACGTAAAGGATTTATAGTGAAAAACTTTGTTTTTACGGGTTATACTTATTCGATTTAAAGCTTTCGTGACTGTGAAGTACCGTTGAGGACGCTTGGACACCGTTGTAAGGCACACGTATTTATTTATACAAATGGTCGTACAATACTAGAGGGGTGTATCGGCCCCCTCACCCGGATAGCTGGGAATATCCTATTAGCTACCCCTGACCTATCGCTAGTCCTCCACTAACGGGGAGGCTATCTGGCCCGACACTGGTCAGTCGGGCTACGGTACCCGGAATCCCAGAGTACTAACTCTGGTTCACGGGACCACGCCACTGGCTCGGTCCTGCGCGGCCCTGATAAGGGCGGCGTCCCAGGGGAGTCCAGGGCCTAGCTGGTCGGTCTTCCGTCTTCCCCTATTTACTCGAAGACTGAACCCCGAGCCGCCCGGTGCGGACGTCGTTGCGGGCACCACCCCGTGTACTGACGGAGCCCCGCCCACTGTGTTTGTTATCCGTTAGATCCTATGCATACAGCCCTACACAAACAGCCCCTCTGTAACAGCCCTACAACTGCAGGGATTCATCTTCTTGGTTCTTTCGGTAAAGTCGTCACGTAAGTCGGGGACTACCTCTACGTGAACGCGAGCTCGGTAGACACGTGGCTAAGGGCAGAAACGTGCTGACTTTGCCGAAGGTCACACACAGAGACACACAGAGATTCCACGCCGTGTAGCAAGCCTGGAACTTAGGCGCTGAACGATTTGTGTGAAAGATCTCATTGCTATTTTACTGACTGCGATTTGATTTGATTTGCGATAAAAACTCATTTTAATTCAAGCTTTGGTTACATTTTCAGTGTAATAGATTTAAAACACGTGATGATGGAGCATTACCACATGCAACCATCAAAATATGAACCGCTCTAGATATTTCAATGCAAGGATAAGAATTTTGATTTAAAGCTTTCGTGACTGCAGGGATTCATCTTCTTGGCTCTTTCGGTAAAGTCGCGTAGAAGGGAAATAATAAAATAATAAAAATAAAACATAATAAAATATTATGTTTTAGTTTTATTATTGTATTACTTCCCTTCTACGTGACTTTACCGAAAGAACCAAGAACAAGGATAAAAACTTAAAATATATTAATTGCCTCCAACATGTACTTATAAAAATGTTTTAATTGAAATAGAACAATCGATCATGGAACAACTGTTTAGTTAAATAAATGTATAATAATAAAAACAATTAAATTCCAATAATAGGAACTTTTAAAATCGCTAAAAAACCGCAGCCTTTTGCAATTTCCTAATCGCATTGTTTCAAATTGCGATTTCGATTTTGAAATCGATTAATCGATTAATTCATCGATCAGCCCTCGCCTTGTAACACAACAGACTGTTGGGGCAAGTGCTGTTGTAATAGGTGCTCGCTAACAGCACCACCACCACCCACACACACAAAGACAAAGGTCCCCCGTGTAGCCTTCAATAGACTGTTGGGGCAAGTGCTGTTGTAATAGGTGCTCGCTAACAGCACCACCACACACACACAAAGACAAAGGTCCCCCGTGTAGCCTTCAATAGACTGTTGGGGCAAGTGCTGTTGTAATAGGTGCTCGCTAACAGCACCACCACACACACACAAAGACAAAGGTCCCCCGTGTAGCCTTCAATAGACTGTTGGGGCAAGTGCTGTTGTAATAGGTGCTCGCTAACAGCACCACCACACACACACAAAGACAAAGGTCCCCCGTGTAGCCTTCAATAGACTGTTGGGGCAAGTGCTGTTGTAATAGGTGCTCGCTAACAGCACCACCACACACACACAAAGACAAAGGTCCCCCGTGTAGCCTTCAATAGACTGTTGGGGCAAGTGCTGTTGTAATAGGTGCTCGCTAACAGCACCACCACACACACACAAAGACAAAGGTCCCCCGTGTAGCCTTCAATAGACTGTTGGGGCAAGTGCTGTTGTAATAGGTGCTCGCTAACAGCACCACCACACACACACAAAGACAAAGGTCCCCCGTGTAGCCTTCAATAGACTGTTGGGGCAAGTGCTGTTGTAATAGGTGCTCGCTAACAGCACCACCACACACACACAAAGACAAAGGTCCCCCGTGTAGCCTTCAATAGACTGTTGGGGCAAGTGCTGTTAGTAGCAGCAGTGTCTACGAAGTCCGGCACACGAGGGGGTGGGTGGCCAGCATTTGAGGCCGAGTCGACCTAGGGGAGACCCAGGTTACACACACACACTGACACGCGCAGCGTTCTTCGCCCACGTTTGGTGAAGTATGGTTGCAAATAAAATAAATCAACCACGGCCCTGACTGCGAATATTAGACGTTAATTCAAATGTTAAAGCAAGGCCTCTACGGGCCCTAGCCCCTTGCCTGAAATCCCCCCCGCTGCCCGCCACCCCGCTCACCGTAGTGGGATATGAGGCCCGACGTTAATTCAAACGTTAAGGTGGGAGGCCTCTACGGGCCCTAGCCCCTTGCCTGAAACCCTCCACCGCCAACCTGCTCACCGTAGCGGGGGGATATGAGGCCCGACGTTAATTCAAACGTTAAGGTGGTAGGCCTCTACGGGCCCTAGCGCCTTGCCTGAAATCCCCCCCGCCCGCTGCCCGCCACCCCGCTCACCGTATCGGGATATGAGGCCCGACGTTAACTCAAACTTTAAGGTGGGAGGCCTCTACGGGCCCTAGCCCCTTGCCTGAAACCTTCCCCCGCTCACCGTAGCAGGGGCGGCGGCTTCCCGGCCTTGCGCTCCATGCGTGCTTGGAGTGCGAGGTAGGCGCGTAGCCATCGCTTGTGCCCACGCTGTTGTTGTTGTTGGTGCTGCTGCTGCTGCTGCTGTTGTTGTTGTTGCTGAGGACGGTGAAGGATGTGGTGGTGGTGATGGAGGAGGAGGGGAGGTCGCAGCAGCAGCAGCAGCGGCCGCGAGGTGACGGCGGTCAGGGACCGCAGCGAGGCCGACAACGCGGCCATCAGTGCGGGGGGAGTGGTGGGGGGAGAAGTGGGGGGAGAGGTGGGGGGAGAGGTGGGGGGAGAGGTGGGGGGAGAGGTGGGGGGAGAGGTGGGGGGAGTGGTGGGGGGAGTGAGGAAAGTGGTGGGGGGAGAAGTGGGGGGAGTAGTGGGGGGGGGGTGAGTAGTGGGGGGAGTGGTGGGAGTAGTGGTGGGGGGAGTGAGGAAAGTGGTGGGGGGAGTAGTGGGGGGTGGGGAGTGAGGGGAGTGGTGGGGGGAGTGGTGGGGGGGAATAGTGGGGGTGGTGGGAATGGTGGACAATGTTAGTCTATGGGTAGTGTTAGTCTATGGGCAGTGTTAGTCTATGGGTAGTGTTAGTCTATGGGTAGTGTTAGTCTATGGGCAGTGTTAGTCTATGGGCAGTGTAAGTTTATGGGTAATGTTAGTCTATGGGCAGTGTTAGTCTATGGGTAGTGTTAGTCTATGGGCAATGTTAGTCTATGGGCAGTGTTAGTCTATGGGCAATGTTAGTCTATGGGCAATGTTAGTCTATGGGCAGTGTTAGTCTATGGGTAGTGTTAGTCTATGGGCAGTGTTAGTCTATGGGCAGTGTTAGTCTATGGGCAGTGTTAGTCTATGGGCAGTGTTAGTCTATGGGCAATGTTAGTCTATGGGCAATGTTAGTCTGTGGGCAATGTTAGTCTATGGGCAATGTTAGTCTATGGGCAGTGTTAGTCTATAGGCAGTGTTAGTCTATGGGCAATGTTAGTCTATGGGCAATGTTAGTCTATGGGCAGTGTTAGTCTATGGGCAATGTTAGTCTATGGACAATGTTAGTCTGTGGGCAATGTTAGTCTGTGGGCAATGTTAGTCTATGGGCAATGTTAGTCTATGGGCAATGTTAGTCTATGGGCAATGTTAGTCTATGGTTAATGTGAGTCTATGGGCAATGTAAGTCTATGGGCAATGTTAGTCTATGGGCAATGTTAGTCTATGGTTAATGTTAGTCTATGGGCAATGTTAGTCTATGGGCAATGTTAGTCTATGGGTAATGTTAGTCTATGGGTAATGTTAGTCTATGGTTAATGTTAGTCTATGGGCAATATTAGTCTATGGGCGATGTTAGTCTATGGGTAATGTTAGTCTATGGGCAATGTTAGTCTATGGGCAATGTTAATCTATGGTTAATGTTAGTCTATGGGCAATATTAGTCTATGGGCAATGTTAGTCTATGGGTAATGTTAGTCTATGGGCAATGTTAGTCTATGGGCAATGTTAGTCTATGGGTAATGTTAGTCTATGGGTAATGTTAGTCTATGGGCAATGTTAGTCTGTGGGCAATGTTAGTCTATGGGCAATGTTAGTCTATGGGCAATGTTAGTCTGTGGGCAATGTTAGTCTATGGTGCAGTGTTAGTCTACGGGCAATGTTAGTCTGTGGGCAATGTTAGTCTATGGGCAATGTTAGTCTATGGGCAATGTTAGTCTATGGGTAATGTTAGTCTATGGGTAATGTTAGTCTATGGGCAATGTTAGTCTGTGGGCAATGTTAGTCTATGGGCAATGTTAGTCTATGGGCAATGTTAGTCTGTGGGCAATGTTAGTCTATGGTGCAGTGTTAGTCTACGGGCAATGTTAGTCTGTGGGCAATGTTAGTCTATGGGCAATGTTAGTCTATGGGTAATGTTAGTCTATGGGCAATGTTAGTCTATGGGCAATGTTAGTCTATGGGCAATGTTAGTCTGTGGGCAATGTTAGTCTATGGTGCAGTGTTAGTCTATGGGCAATGTTAGTCTATGGGCAGTGTTAGTCTATGGGCAATGTTAGTCTATGGGCAATGTTAGTCTGTGGGCAATGTTAGTCTATGGTGCAGTGTTAGTCTATGGGCAATGTTAGTCTGTGGGCAATGTTAGTCTGTGGGCAATGTTAGTCTGTGGGCAATGTTAGTCTATGGGCAATGTTAGTCTATGGGCAGTGTTAGTTTGTGGGCAGTGTTAGTCTATGGGCAGTGTTAGTCTAGGGGCAATGTTAGTCTATGGGCAATGTTAGTCTATGGGCAGTGTTAGTCTAGGGGCAATGTTAGTCTATGGGCAATGTTAGTCTATGGGCAATGTTAGTCTATGGGCAATGTTAGTCTATGGGCAGTGTTAGTCTATGGGCAGTGTTAGTCTAGGGGCAATGTTAGTCTATGGGCAATGTTAGTCTATGGGCAGTGTTAGTCTATGGGTAATGTTAGTCTATGGGCAATGTTAGTCTATGGGCAATGTTAGTCTATGGGCAGTGTTAGTCTATGGGCAGTGTTAGTCTATGGGCAGTGTTAGTCTATGGGCAATGTTAGTCTATGTTAGTCTATGGGCAATGTTAGTCTATGGGTAATGTTAGTCTATGGGCAATGTTAGTATATGGGCAATGTTAGTCTATGGGCAATGTTCGTATATGGGCAGTGTTAGTCTATGGGCAATGTTAGTCTAG